GAAGTATAGTGGCATACATAGTATGGTAAGGCATGGCAAGGCTGCCAGTTCTGAGAAATTTGTGGCTGAAAAATTTGTGGATTAATTCAAGGACTATGTAGAGGCTGAAGGATTCGTCCCACAACAAGTGTTCAATTGTGACGAAACGGGCATCTCTCAGAAGAAAATGCCAAAGAGGACCTACATCATGCAGGAGGAAACGACACTCCCAGGACACAAGCCTATGAAAGTCAGGCTAACTCTCATGTTCTGTGGTAATGCTGGTGGGAATTTCAAAGTGAAGCCTTTACTGGTGTATCACTATGAAAATTCCAGAGTGTTCAAAAAATGCAGTGTCACCAAGAGCAAATTGTGTGTGATGTGGAAGGCTAACAGTAAGGCATGGGCCACAAGGGAAACTTTCCTTGATTGGTTCAATGAAGTGTTTGGCCCGAGTGTGAAGGAATACTTCCTGGAAAAAAAATTGCCCCTCAAGTGCCTCCTGGTAATGGACAATGCTGCTGCTCATCCTCCAGACTTGGATGGCAAAATGGTGGAGTTTAGTTTCATTACAGTGACGTTCTTGCCCCCTTATACCACTCCCATGGACCAGCAGATCATTTCAAACTTCAGAAAACTGTACACCACAGCATTGTTTCAAAGGTGCTTTGATGTGACCTCGGACACTCAAGTGACCCTAAGAGAGTTCAGGAAAGATCACTTCAGTATCCTCCATTGCATAGGCCTTATAGATAAGGCTTGGCAGGGAGTGACTTCCAGGACTATGAACTCTGCTTGGAGAAAATTGTGGCCAGATTGTGTGCTCGACAAAGATTTTAAAGGGTTTGAGGCTAACCCTGTTGACCCTACACCTGTTGTGCAATCAATTGTGGCATTGGGGAATTCCATGGGGTTGGATGTGAGTGGCGAGGATGTGGAAGAGTTGGTGGAGGACCACAGTGAAGAGCTAACCACTGAAGAGCTGCAAGAGCTTCATCTGCAACAGCAACAGACCACAGCTGTGGAAATTGCTTCAGAGGAGGAGGAAGACAGATGGAAGAAGGTGCCTTCTTCACAGCTTAAGGACATTTGAGCAAAGTGGAGTGAAGTGCAAACGTTTATGGAGGAACATCACCCTGACAAAGCTTTTGCAAGCCGTGTTGGCAACATGTACAATGACAGTGTCTTGTCCCATTTGAGGCAAATTTTAAAGACATGCCAGAAACAGAGCTATCTGGAAATTTTTTTTTTGAGCAACAGGAGTCCAGCGACTCTCAAGCTGATCCTCGTAACCCTGGATAAGGACTTGGTACCTAAGGGTCTTTATGGGAGGGGATTCCCCTTCCAAACAATAGTGTAACTTCTCCATCCTCTCCCCTCCTCCTGTCTTCCATACACTAACAACAGTCTTCAATAAAGGTAAGTGTGATGTTTCACTGTTTTCTGTATGTAAATCTATATTTAATGTAAACGGATTAATTGGATTTACATTATTTCATTTATGGGGAAAGTGGTTTCGCCATTTCTAAATTTCAACTTTCATCACACTCTGGAATGGATTAATTACGAAATTCGAGGGTCCACTGTAATTATTTTATTTTTTGTACTGTTTTGGTCTTCTAAGGCTATGTATAATGAATACCTATAATATTGTAATTATTTTAGAGTATAATATTCATCAGAACATGGAAATTATTCACATTGTTTGACTTCACATCCTCATAGCAGACAGATAAAAAGACCCGGCACACTTTTGTATCATCATTTGCAGATGACACTAAAGCATGAAAGTCACTACGGTAGAGGACACTGAAAAAGTACAGGAAGACATAAGCAGAATTTCCCAGTGGGCAGTAGAGAACATGGCATTCAATGGTGATAAGTTCTAGCTGCTTAGGTATGGAAAGAATGAAGAACTCAAAAGGAACACTATATACAAAACTGAAGTGGGTCACCAAATAGAATGTAAGGAACACATAAAAGACCTGGGAATAATTATGTCAGCTGACCTTTCTTTTAAAGACCATACCAAGACAAAGATCACTACAGCCAGGAAGATGACTGGGCTAGTATTGAGAACTTTCAAAACAAGGGAAATAATGCCAATGGTGACACACTTCAAATCGCTAGTGCTCCCTCACTTAGAATATTGCTCAGTGCTGACGGCCCCATTCAAAGCAGGAGAAATATCGGAGCTGGAACACATACAAAGATCGTTTACAGCTCACATTGAGCCAGTAAAGCACCTAAACTACTGGGAACACCTTCAAGTCTTGAACATGTGCTCATTGGAGCGGAGGAGAGATACATGATAATATATACGTACCTGGAAAGTACTCGAGGGACTGGTCCCAAATCTGCATGCTGCCATAACATACTGGAGTGAGAGATATGGGAGGAAGTGTAAAATAAACCCAGTGATGACCAGGAGTGTGATGGGGACAATAAGGGAACACTGTATCAACATTTGGGGTCCCAGACTATTCAACATCTTGCCAGAAGATATCAGAGACACGGCTGGAACAAGTGTAGAACTGGACAAGTATCTTCACCAGGTGCCAGATCAACCAGGCTGTGATGGATATGTGGGGCAGTGGGCCTCCAGCAGCAACAGCCTGGTTGACCAGGCAAGCACCAGATGAACCTGGCCCATGGCCGGGCTCAGAGAGTCGAGAAACTCTGGGTTATATACCTGGTGTTTTGTGGCTGAATTCCACTGACAGTATCATGAAACTGTGATAAATTTGGACTGAATAAGTCATCTTTGAACTACTTGCACACCCTGTTTGCTGGTAGGGAAACTGATGGTGGAACAACAGCTCATGGTTCCTTTGTTTACTTTTGCTAGTGAGGCATTCTAGTATGTCAGACATAGTCATCCCCTGAGTAGTTAACCATGATACATTGTGTGGACCTTGCTGGCCTTAGATTTTTTCAAATGTATAAATAGATGGAAGAAGACCCAAAGAGTTGTCCTGAGGTAAAAAATATTGGCAGATGGCAGATTTGTGGGTACAAAATATGGTGTGTACTAGTATGCTGGACACAGTATCACCACGTGTACTAGTACGTCAGACAGAGTTAAAGGGTTAATGAACAAACGTTGCTTTTGTGACTGGATTACCTACAATATTTTCTTCAGACTTTTCAAATTGGAATTTGTTGAATTTTGTGTAATATTGGCCAAATTACTGACTTCTGTGCACTCCGTAGGTTTGTTTAATAGTTGAATGGACAGTTTCTTGTGCTCAATCATTAGAACAGTAAACTACCAGTGGAACAGCTAGGACTTTTGTCAAATTGAGTAATAGAACTGGTTTAAAATAAGACACAAAGTGGGCAAAATTGCCAATGTGTAAATTGCGTCCAGGTTGCTAACTTTACGCATGCATAATTCTATAAGGTTTCTATAAAATTTTTAATTTTTTTGTGTTATCTTCAAAAGTAGAGTCTCTGTACCATTGCAGAAGAAAAAATAATTGTATTCTGAAAAATCACAACACTATCAACACTTTAATTTCAGTGTCAAAGTAGTGAAAGGATTAGATCAAAATGTTAAAACCAATACTCCACTGCATACTTAATATAGAACTATACATACAGTTTATCTCCATGGGGAAGTGGAACAGAATTCTTCCTCTGTAAGTCATGCGTGTCGTAAGAGGCGACTAAAATGCTGGGAGCAATGGGCTAGTAACTTCTTCACCTGTATACATTACTAGAGTTAAAAAGAGAAACTTTTTAGGCCACCCTGCTTTGGTGGGATATAGCCAGTTTGTTGAAAGAAAGAACATACAGTTTACCCTTATATTGCAATAAACATTAAAGATAAATGCATTAAAAGTACAATTTTCCAGTAGATTTTGCCCTTTATATTAATATTTCTTATATCAAGGGGTTACTGTAATATAAAATTTAACATTTGTCATAACTTGTATGGTAATCATTATATTAATACCAATATTAGTAAGGATAATGATTGATAACTGGAAATAATGCAAAAAAAAAATTTATTCAAGAATGTTTGTAGATAAATGTCTGTAATCATATAGTTAAAGAATATAAAATGTTCAGTGTAAATTATATGTTTAGTAGTAGTAATAATAATACATGAGTTGTAATACATTGCTCTTGCAGTGAATATTCCATTATTGACTTTTTATTGTTAAGGGGAAGAGCTAAACTTGAAGGGGTCATACAATGCATTGTGAATAGGAGGCAATCCGATTAGATCCAAGGATGAGGATAGGTCTGCTTCCTTGGGTCAAAAAGCCCATTACAATTATCAAAGCATCTCGTGTGAGGAGCTATCCTTGACTTGTTTTTCATTTTGCCTTTTTTTCTTCAAGGGGTAAGAGAAGGAATCTGGACAGGGCTTGATCCAAAGAATTGGAGTGATTGACTTCCATTCACCAGGCACTTATAACCCCTAGAGGTTTAGCACTTCCCCTTGAATAAAATAATTGTTCTGTAATTTGTTACTTGTGAATACCAATTGAAAAATTATTTATTCCTGAGGTAGTTTGTTTTATTTTAGACATTACTATCATAGAAATTGCTAGATGGATTCTATTAAAATGGCCACTTGTAGTGTAGTTAAATATTTTGTTCAAAAATCTGGTGTGCCAAGTAACTCACAAATGCTTAACTATAGTATTTTTATTAAGCCTTATAACCATACATCAAGTCATTTTGGGTATACCATTTTTTCATAATTTTGTTAAAATAATAATAATAATAATGACCTACTAAGGAAGTAAGTGACTTTCAAAGATACTAGAAAATAGAAAAAAAGGGACATATAAAGATCCTGAGAGGGCAAACTATTGCGCTTTCCAGTATCCAGGAACAGCACCATTGAAGGAAGTTTCTCTTATGAAAATTTTTGCAAGAATTCCTTTTCTGAAAATAATAGTTAATTTTGTATCCCTTTCATGTGCTTAGAGTAAATATTTGTACAGTATTGCATTCAAGTACATAATTTCATTATTTCTTACTGACGTATTGATTTCATATATTAGATTCTGATGGCTATGAGTTTAGTCTGGTGTCACTGGACAACAAGCAATGGCATTTTGAAGCAGGAAGTCAGGAAGAGAGAGACGAGTGGGTAACAGTCATTGAGCAGCAGATTCTTAGCTCACTTCAAGGTAACGAGTCCAACAAGAGCAAGACACGGCAAGCACATCCAATTGACCCACAAACAATATCTACTATAAAAAATCAAGTCCCAGGAAATTTGAACTGTGTTGATTGTGATGCTCCGAGTAAGTACAGCAAGACCTTAAATTTGGGTTAGACCTTTACAGCAGTGATACCTTCATTTTCATAAAATAAAAAATTAGCAAAGAATTTGGAGATAGAACTCTTCATAATTTATTTGCAGGTTGCCTACATAATTGTTAATATATTACTTATAGATCCGGAGTGGGCCAGTATCAACCTTGGAGTATTAATGTGCATAGAATGCTCAGGCATCCACAGAAATTTAGGATCTCACATATCAAAAGTGAGGTCACTTGACCTGGATGAATGGCCGTAAGTACAGATCTCTTATGTAGAGCACTTTTTCCTTTAATAAGTAATTCATTGAGAAATGAGAGCATACACATGAAATTATTTTAATATAATGGGGGAAATTATAAACCCTAAGGGGTCATAAGAAACCTTGGAAATAGGAAGCCATCAGGTTCAATCTTTAGAGTGAGAACAGATTCAGTTTCTTAGATCAAAAGCCCTTCTCTAGAGAAGATTTTAATAGTAGTTTATCTTAAGTTGAACTTTTTGATAAACATTTGAGTTGCAGATGTATAGCCTTTCCTTGAGGTTTACTGTATATGAGAACATAGTCTGATTAAAAGCATCATTATGTATAGCTTTATGCACTATACATTGACCAGCAAGTACTGTACAATACAATCTTTTGTTACAGCTTACATTGTATACTTTTGGCAACCACTAATTTGAAAGAAAACACATTGCATGAATCTGTCCCTTAAACTGGACCCTTGTAGGAGGAACAAATCCTGTTGGGAATGGGAGGCATCCATTACAGTAGATGGGGGAAAAAAAATAGCAGCCTTGCATTGATAAACGTATGGGAAAATTTTAGGGTTTATATATAATATTCAAGTAGGAAGTTTAAATAATTGTTGAAAAAAATGGAAGGCTGGATAGTCATTGGTAAATGCCAAATGGTGAGAGGTAACATGTCAGGAAACTCTTTGAAGGAAGCTGTAATGACAGTGGCATTGAAAGACTATGATACCATTGAAGGTCTTTTGATCAAAGGAATTTGAATTACCCTCCCTATCCTGAAACCTGATTATATCCCATTTTCAAAGTGCTGTATTATTCCTTTAGGTTGAAACCCTCCTGTTTAAAAAAAAAAAAATAGTCATTTTTTTTCCTTTAGTGACATACATAAGTTTTTTTTTTTTTCAACAAGTCGGTCGTCTCCCACCGAGGCAGGGTGACAAAAGAAAGAAAATCCCCAAAAAGAAAATACTTTCATCATCATTCAACACTTTCACCACACTCACACATTATCACTGCTTTTGCAGAGGTGCTCAGAATACAACAGTTTAGAAGCATATATGTATAGAGATACACAACATATCCCTCCAAACTGCCAATATCCCAAACCCCTCCTTTAAAGTGCAGGCATTGTACTTCCCATTTCCAGGACTCAAGTCCGACTATATGAAAATAACCGGTTTCCCTGAATCCCTTCGCTAAATATTACCCTGCTCACACTCCAACAGATCGTCAGGTCCCAAGTATCATTCGTCTCCATTCACTCCTATCTAACACGCTCATGCACGCTTGCTGGAAGTCCAAGCCCCTCACCCACAAAACCTCCTTTACCTCCTCTTTCCAACCCTTTCGAGGACAACCCCTACCCCTCTTTCCTTCCCCTATAGATTTATATGCTTTCCATGTCATTCTACTTTGATCCATTCTCTCTAAATGACCAAACCACCTCAACAACCCCTCTTCTGCCCTCTGACTAATGCTTTTATTAACTCTACACCTCCTAATTTCCAGCATAATATTTACACCACACATTGCCCTTAGACAGGACATCTCCACTGCCTCCAACCGTCTCCTCGCTGCTGCATTTACCACCCAAGCTTCACATCCATATAAGAGTGTTGGTACTACTATACTTTCATACATTCCCTTCTTTGCCTCCATAGATAACGTTTTTTGACTCCACATATACCTCAACGCACCACTCACCTTTTTTCCCTCATCAATTCTATGATTAACCTCATCCTTCATAAATCCATCCGCCGACACGTCAACTCCCAAGTATCTGAAAACATTCACTTCTTCCATACTCCTCCTCCCCAATTTGATATCCAATTTTTCTTTATCTAAATCATTTGATACCCTCATCACCTTACTCTTTTCTATGTTCACTTTCAACTTTCTACCTTTACACACATTCTCAAACTCATCCACTAACCTTTGCAATTTTTCTTTAGAATCTCCCATAAGCACAGTATCATCAACAAAAAGTAACTGTATCAATTCCCATTTTGAATTTGATTCCCCATAATTTAATCCCACCCCTCTCCCGAACACCCTAGCATTTACTTCTTTTACAACCCCATCTATAAATATATTAAACAACCATGGTGACATTACACATCCCTGTCTAAGACCTACTTTTACCGGGAAGTATTCCCCTTTCTTCTACACACCCTAACCTGAGCCTCACTATCCTCATAAAAGCTCTTTACAGCATTTAGTAACTTACCACCTATTCCATATACTTGCAACATCTGCCACATTGCTCCTCTATCCACTCTATAATATGCCTTTTCTAAATCCATAAATGCAATAAAAACTTCCCTACCTTTATCTAAATACTGTTCACATATATGCTTCAATGTAAACACTTGATCTACACATCCCCTACCCACTCTGAAGCCTCCTTGCTCGTCCGCAATTCTACATTCTGTCTTGCCTCTAATTCTTTCAATTATAACCCTACCGTATACTTTTCCTGGTATACTCAGTAAACTTATTCCTCTATAATTTTTACAATCTCTTTTGTCCCCTTTCCCTTTATATAAAGGGACTATACATGCTCTCCGCCAATCCCTAGGTACCTTCCCCTCTTTCATACATTTATTAAACAAAAGTACCAACCACTCCAACACTATATCCCCCCCTGCTTTTAACATTTCTGTCATGATCCCATCAGTTCCAGCTGCTTTACCCCCTTTCATTCTACGTAATGCCTCACGTACCTCCACCACACTTACATTCTGCTCTTCTTCACTCCTAAAAGATGGTATACCTCCCTGGCCAGTGCATGAAATTACCACCTCCCTTTCTTCCTTAACATTTAAAAGTTCCTCAAAATATTCTCGCCATCTACCTAATACCTCCCTCTCCCCATCTACTAACTCCCCTACTCTGTTTTTAACTGACAAATCCATACTTTCCCTAGGCTTTCTTAACTTGTTTAACTCACTCCAAAATTTTTTCTTATTTTCATTAAAATTTCTTGACAGTGCCTCTCCCACTCTTCCATCTGCTCTCCTTTTGCACTCTCTCACCACTCTCTTCACCTTTCTTTTACTCTCCATATACTCTGCTCTTCTTATAACACTTCTGCTTTGTAAAAACCTCTCGTAAGCTACCTTTTTCTCTTTTATCACACCCTTTACTTCATCATTCCACCAATCACTCCTCTTTCCTCCTGCCCCCACCCTCCTATAACCACAAACTTCTGCCCCACATTCTAATGCTGCATTTTTAAAACTATTCCAACCCTCTTCAACCCCCCCACTACTCATCTTTGCACTAGCCCACCTTTCTGCCAATAGTCGCTTATATCTCGCCCGAACTTCCTCCTCCCTTAGTTTATACACTTTCACCTCCCTCTTACTTGTTGTTGCCACCTTCCTCTTTTCCCATCTACCTCTTACTCTAACTGTAGCTACAACTAAATAATGATCCGATATATCAGTTGCCCCTCTATAAACATGTACATCCTGGAGCCTACCCATCAACCTTTTATCCACCAATACATAATCTAACAAACTACTTTCATTACGTGCTACATCATACCTTGTATATTTATTTATCCTCTTTTTCATAAAATATGTATTACTTATTACCAAATTTCTTTCTACACATAGCTCAATTAAAGGCTCCCCATTTACATTTACCCCTGGCACCCCAAATTTACCTACTACTCCCTCCATAACATTTTTACCCACTTTAGCATTGAAATCCCCAACCACCAATATATATATACATGTATATATATATTTTCCAATAAGTCAAGCAGGGTGACCCAAAAAGAAAATACTTTCGTCTCACACATAATCACTGTCTTTGCAGAGGCACCCAGATACAACAGTTTAGAAGCATCTTTAACATACCCCTCCTTTAAAGTGCAGGCATTGTACTTCCCATTTCCAGTACTCGAGTCCGGCTATATAAAAATAACTGGTTTCCCTGAATCCATTCACTCCTATCTACACGCTCACGCATGCTTGCTGGAAGTTCAAGTCCCTTGCCCACAAAACCTTGATGACCCCTTCCCCACCTTCTTTCCCCTACAGATTTATATGCTCTCCATGTCATTCTACTTTGAGCCATTCTCTCTAAATGACCAAACCACCTTTTCAGCCCTCTGACTAATACTTTTATTTACACCACACATTGCCCTTAGACAGGATATCTACAATGTCTCCTCGCTGCAGCATTTACAACCCAAGCTTCACACCCATATAAGAGTGTTGGTACCACTATACTTTTATACATTCCCTTCTTTGCCTCCAGAGATAATGTTTTTTTTGCCTCCACATATACCTCAATGTACCACTCGCCATTTTTCATTCATCAATTCTATGGTTAACCTCATCCTTCATAAATCCATCCACTGACACGTCAACTTCCAAATATCTGAAAACATTCACTTCTTCCATACCCCTCGTCTCCAATTTGATATCCAATTTTTCTTTATATCATTTGATACCCTCATCACCTTACTCTTTTTCTATGTTCACTTTCAACTTTCTACCTTTACACACACTCCCAAACTCGTCCACCAACCTTTGCAATTTTTCTTTAGAATCTCCCATAAGCACAGTGTCATCAGCAAAAAGTAACTGTGTCAATACCCATTTTGTATTTGATTCCCCATAATTTAATTCCTCCCCAACACCCTAGCATTTGCTTCTTTTACAACCCCATCTATAAATATATTAAACAACCATGGTGACATTACACATCCCTGTCCAAGACCTACTTTTACTGAGTAGTAGTCTCCCTCTCTTCTACACACCCTAACCTAAAACTCTCTACAGCATTTAGTAACTTACTACCTATTCCATATACTTGCAACATCTGCCACATTGCTCCCCTATCCACTCTATCATATGCCTTTGCTAAATCCATAAATGCAATGAAAACTTCCCTACCTTTATCTAAATACTGTTCATGTATATGCTTCAATGTAAACACTTGATCTACACATCCCCTACTCACCCGCAATCCTACATTCTGTCTTGCCTCTAATTCTTTCAATAACCCTACCTTACACTTCTGGTATACTCAGTAAACTTGTTCCTCTATAATTTTTACAATCTCTTTTGTCCTCTTTTCCTTTATATAAAGGAACTATACATGTTCTCTGCCAGTCCCTATGTACCTTCCCCTCTTTCATACATATACTAAACAAAAATACCAACCACTCCAACACTATATCCCTTCCCCCCCTGCTTTACCCCCTTTCATTCTATGTAATACCTCAGGCACCTCCCTTACACTTACGTCCTGCTCTTCTTCACTCCTAAAAGATGTTATACCTCCCTGGGCAGTGCATGAAATTACCGCCTTACTTTCTTCATGGACATTTAAAAGTTCTTCAAAATATTCCTGCCATCTGCCCAATACCTCCAGCTCCCCTACTCTGTTCTTAACTGAAAATCCATTCTTTTCCTAGGCTTTCATAACTTGTTTATCTTGCTCCCAAATTTTTTCTTATTTTCATCAAAATTTCTTGACAGTGCCTCTCCCACTTAATCATCTGCTCCCCTTTTTGCACTCTCACCACTCTCTTCACTTCTCCTCCTGCACCCATCCTCCTATAGCCACAAACTTCTAATACTGCATTTTTTAAACTGTTCCAGCCCTCTTCAACCACTCTCACCCCCTTCACTACTCATACTGCCACTAGCCCACCTTTCTGCCAATAGTTGTTTCTCTTACCCTAACTTCCTCCTCCCTTAATTTATACACCTTCACCTCTCTTACTTACCGTTGCCATTTTCCTTTTGTCCCATCTACCTCTTGCTCTATTTAGTTGTAGCTACAGTTAATGATTCGATATATCAGTTGCCCCTCTATAAACATGTACATCCTGAAGCCTACCAATCAACCTTTAATCCAGCAATACATAATCTAACAAACTACTTTCATTATGTGCTATATCATACCTTGTATACTTATCCTCTTTTTTCATAAAATATGCATTATTGCCAAACCTCTTTCTACACATAACTCAAAGGCTCCCAATTTTCATTTACCCCTGGCACCCCAAATTTACCTACTACTCCCTCCACACTTTAACATTGAAATCCCCAACCACAAGTTCTCTCTCCTCTCCAGGTGCATAAATGCTTACTTAACCCACTTTTCACATCCAACTCTTATTTTACACCACATAATCCTTGACTTTATACATTTATATTCCCTCTTTTCCTGCCATAACTTATCTTTCAACATTATTGCTACTCCTTTAGCTTTATTTGAAACCCCTGATCTAATACCATTTATTTCTCTCCAGTGAAGCTCTCCCACCCAGTTTCACTGAAAGCCAGGACGTCCAGCTTCTTCTCATCCACAATCATCTCTCTCATTCGCACAACATCCACACACATTCAAACATCCCACTTTGATGGTTTTCTTTTTCTTTTAAGTAGGCAGTACGGGAAAAGGAGTTACTAGCCCATTGTTCCCGGCATTTTAGTTGACTTTTACAATACGCATGGCTTAAGGAGGAAAGATTCTTATTCCACTTCCCCACTGATATGAAAGGAAAAGCAATAATAACAAGAACTAAGATAAAATCAAAGAAAACTTAGATGTGTATAAACTGAACTGTGGCTAGTTTTATAGTCAACTTTAAGAAGCTCTAGCTTTATCATCACATTTTCTTTCTAGACCTGGTCCTGTTTCGGTGATGATGTCACTTGGTAATGAAGTTGGGAATAGCATATGGGAAGCTCATTTAAGAGGTCAAACAAAGCCTAGCCCTAGATCCAGTCGAGAGGACAAGGAGCGTTGGATTAGAGCCAAGTATGAAGCAAAAGAGTTTCTGGCACACCCACAGCCTGGCATCTCTCTACATGAACAGGTTAATATTAATGCTTGTACAGTGGATGGGTTGACTTTCTTGAATGGTGTGTTTATGGTTCATTCAAGAACTATATATATAGTACAGGAATATTTATTTTTTACGTACATCTTTTCTCTAGATTGTAGACTGTGTTTGTCGAGGAGACGTTAAGAGGCTAACAGCTTTACTGCCCCATGCTGGTGATGCTGTGAACAATCCTCTTGCTCCTCATCGGGACTTGAGAACCCCTCTCCATCTTGCTGCTGCCTTCCCTTCCTTGCCCTGTGTACAGCTCTTGCTCTGGGTGAGCAGAAATACTTTTGTTTTAAAGGCTAACCTAAGAGTTTCTTGTAGTGCTTATGAAATTGTACTATAAAATTAATTGCTATATTATTATTATCTTTCAACATATTCAACTGTTTTTGTCAAGTTGTAATGGGAATTTTCCTCTTTGCAGTATAATGCTAGTGTAAAAATATGTGATGCTGAAGGCAGGTCCAGTTTATTTTATGCCCGAGCAGCTGGGGATAAGGAAGTAATTGATCTTTTGCTACAAAATGGCTGCCCAGATACAGGGCTGGTAGCACCTCCTCATACTCCAGCACTTAGCCATGCAACTTTACCTTTGTCATCCAACACCACTTCTCAGCCTTCAACGTTGCCACGGAGGAAGGGATCCATAAGCCGAAAGCCAGATCTTGATAAACTCCAAGCTAGCGTAATCTAGGGTTATTAGCTCATTACCATAGTTTCTGTGGATAAAGCTGTTAAATTTGATAGTACATGTCTGATGGTCTTTGTGAGTCTGCATACTTATAAAATGTAATAATGCTGCAGTAATTTTTTTTAATACCAGTTGCTATATATTCACTGTAGCCTTGTAATCGCCTACAAATTCCTTTCCAAACTTGTTGGTCATCTCTGATTTTAAACATGCTTTATAAAAAGAACAAAAAAAAAGCAATATACTGGTTATTGTGCATATCTTAAAGGATTTTTTCATTATTCTTGAGGTGGGGGGGGGTGATGTGAAACAAAACCACTAAGGGTCATACAGTGCATGGGGAAATGGGAGGCAATCAAATTTAATCAAAGAAAATGGGGTGTAAGACTAGTTCCTTGGATTAAGAGCCTCTTATCAACATGAAGGCACCTGCCTTGAGGGGTATGGCAGGTTAATGTGAAAAAATAAATGGGTCAGTTTAGAAATGATCCCTTAAGACGAGGTGCTTTGTTGTTGGCTTAAGGTCCCCAATCCAAAGAATTTGGAACTCCACTGCCTTTACTAAGATCAAACTTCATTTCCTTACATTTTCCAGGGGTTGTAAGAACCTTACAGTTTACCACTTCCATGATTATAGTACTGTATTAAGATAGCATTATAAATATGATTTTATAATAAATTTATTAATCTTATTTTTAGAAATGACTGCAGCAGGCGATTCTTTGGATTTACTATATAGAATTTCAACACACCTATAGACTATGATGTATTATCAAATTCTATATAGCTCTCGAGACCAAAATGTGACCAAGTCCAAGCAGGTCTGACCATCACTTGGGTTTTAAGGATCTGATCATAATGTTTGTGAGGGAGGGGGTAAAGAATGTCACACAACCAGATATAATGTGTTTTCATTGTTAAACTGTGATTGTCATTTGTTTATGCCATATTTTATGGAAAAAAAAAGACATTCTGGAGATACTCGTGAATTCTTCAACTTTCAACAAGTATTCCATAATCTTGTGAAGATGTACATATGAAACCGAGCATACCATGAACCCATCTGTAAACATTATCATCCTGCACTAGTGTTGTCATGTCTCATGGTTGTATATATCGTGAACAATAAATTGTACCAAAGGTTGAATGAGAGTGAGATATAATGTAGATTTGTGTATGTATCAGTTTAATCCAGGTGTAAAGATGATTATCCTGCTCAAGATACAAATGTATGAAGCCAAAGTTCATATAATCCCTGTATTAGAGGCACATCAAGATGATGTGTAGATTATCTGCTGGCAAGTTGGAGGAAGATGACCATCACACACGTCCCTAATTCAAGAACAAAGCTAAAGACGAAACAGTATTTAGGTCCTACAAGATATCTCAGTATATTAAGAAGGGGGGGGGGAGAACAAGGATTGGTATGTTATATTTAAACTCAGATTGCCATAGCAATTTTTCAGCTCCATTTAATTTTACTAGTTAGTCACCTAGGTAGGATAGTGTGTCGGTTATTTTCTTCCAGCATTCTGCCGTTTTCTTTATTGTGCTTTCACGTTACAGTCTTCTCTCTAATTCCAGCCTCTAGTAATTAAATATGGCACAATAGCTATAAAGTTACTTTTGGTAGCATTTTCTCCCATATCAGTCATTTAGTTGAGGCAGAATTGGTGAGAAGATTGTATAAGGAGGATATTGTTAGTGTACAAATCTTGTTACTTAGCTATCATCTGTAAATTTGTATATACTTATATATATATATTATATATATAGATATATGACCTGTCCGTTCTTCCTAGCCCTGTAGTTTAAAAAAAAAAAAAAAAAAAAAATAAAATTTCCTCCTTTTTATTATATTGTGAATATTTGTGAAAAATATTGACATACCATACAGTACATGAAAAATTCATACCTCATACTTCTTCACATTATTAGACTGTTTTGCATCATATATGTAATGAATAAGTTGTAATAAGATCAGCAGGTAGATGTTATTTATTGAAACATTTTGCTAAAAATTCTTTTTTTATATATACTTTTGAATTATATTACCATATTGCTGATCAAGTTACACAAAAATAAGTTTCATCTAGCCTTCCCTCATACTTATCAGTGTTAAACTGTCTTTAACACGGCAGTGTCCCTCGAGTCTGACAAAATTGGGAGGCTAAACTTCCTACAATACACAAATAATCTCCCGCAAGTGAAATTGTAGGTCTTATTGTAACTTGCAATCACTTACCAAGTACTGTAAGCTCCTTCTATGTTTACTTGTATTTATTACAGACTCAAAATCAATAAAGCAAGAATATACATGGTTGTTTTATTGTGTAAAACCTGTTAATAAATTGTTGCAGATTAAACACTATGTTCTTCCATGATTATAATAATTTTTATGCAGACTTGTGTTAAGGTATGTAGGAGGGAGGGGGACTACTTCCCAAGAGAGGGATGTGTGATGTGTAATATTTGTATTTATTGATGGGGTTGTAAAAGAAGTGAGTACTAGGGTGTTGGGGCAAGGTAAAAGATGTTGGATATAATACAAAAGTGGTAGTCACAATTGCCTTTGACAATTGTTTTGGGAGATTCTGAAAAGTTACAAAGGTTGGTAGATATACAGTGGACCCCCGCATAGCGACTTTAATCCGTGCAAGAGGGCTCATTGTTATGTGAAATGATCGGTATGCGAATGAATTTTCCCCATAAGAAATAATGGAAATCAAATTAATCCGTGCAAGACACCCAAAAGTATGAAAAAAAAAATTTTACCACATGAAATATACATTTTCCTACACACAAAGAGAAGGATACATGCACAATAGTAGAGTAGTACATGCACAATATATATTGTGCATGTACTACTCTACTAAATGAAGAATAAATGACACTTACCTTTATTGAAGATGCAGCAATGACTGATGAGACACTCTGTCCTGGGAGTGCCTTTTCCTCCTGAGTACTGTAGGTCCTGTTTGGCATTTTCTTCCAGAACAGGCCTTATCACACTGTGTATGCCACTACGATTCTTAAATCTCTCAAACCAACCTTTGCTGGCTTTAAATTCACCAATATGCGCACTAGTTCCAGGCATTTTTCCCTGTTCACCTGGGTGTTAGTCGACTGGTGTGGGTTGCATCCTGGGAGACAAGATTAAGGACCCCAATGGAAATAAGTTAGACAGTCTTCGATGACACTGACTTTTTTGGGTTATCCTGGGTGGAAAATCCTCTGGGGTTAATTGTTTCTTGGTATTCTCAATAAGCCACACCAACAACGGTGCTACAGCAGCAGCAGCTGACAGTGCTACAGCAGCAGCAGCAGCAGCTGACAGTGCTACAGCAGCAGCAGCAGCTGACTGCTACAGCAGCAGCAGACGATGCTACAGCAGCAGCAGACGATGCTACAGCAGCAGCAGATGGTACTACAGCAGCAGCAGCAGCTGATGGTGGTACAGCAGCAGCAGCAGCTGTACCACCAATAGTAGCGATGGTTGATTGGGGTTTATTATACAACCTGGCCAGCTCGGAGACACGCACTCCACTTTCATACTTATCAATGATCTTTTTCTTCATCTCTATAGTAATTCTCACTCTTATTGCTGTAGGGTTGGCACTAGAAGCTTTCTTGGGGCCCATGGTCACTTATTTTGCAGATAAAATCACCAAAAACACTGTAATAATACGAAATGTTCCGATTGTATGCTTGGATGTTACAGCGGAGGCTGGCTGGTAAACAATGCCACCGGCGGCACATGTGAGGCTGGCTAAGGGCGCACATTAGACGCATCTCGGACGAACAGCGGTGAGTGGGTTTTTGAGCGGTATGCGAGGCAAAATTTTTGCGATAAAAGCGAGCGGTATGCGGATTAAACGTTATGTGATGCCAACGGTATGCGGGGGTCCACTGTACTGGGAATGTAAAATTAAGAAACAAAGTGAACATAGAAAAGATCAAGATGATGAGGGTAACAAAAAAGCCTAGGCAATGATAAATTATCAAGTTGGAGGGAGATATTTAGAAGTGGACATCTCAGCAGAGGGGTCTATGAAAGACAAGGTGAATCGTGCAAAACCTAGAAAGGGTGAACCATGTAAAACTTATGCTAGTAAGGTGTCTTGAGACATCTATAGAAAGAAGTTTCTCTATGAAGAAAAAAGGTAATGTACCGGAGTATAGTGGTACCAATACTTCTGTATGGGTGTTAGGCATTGGAAACCATACCACGGGCGGGAATAGAACCCGTGATCAGTCATAAAACTCCAGACCGAGTCTCTGATCGCAAGTTCTATCCCTGCCCGGGGTATGGTTTGTAATCGTGTCATTACAATTTCATGAGTGATGATGTTAGGCATAGGCTTTGAATGTTGCACCTGAAGGCAGTGGAGACATCATGTTTGAGAACAATGTGTGGCATGAATATTATGCAGAGGGTTCAGGTGGCTTAGGTAGTTTGGGCATTTCAGGAGAATGGTGGGGGACAGAATGACAAAGGGTGTATAAAATTGGGATGGATGGTACAAGGGGTATGGGTCATCCTAGGAACAGTTTGAGGGAGGGGGTAAAGAAGACTAGTTTAAGGAGCTTGAGCATCCAGCAGGCTTATGCGTGTTAGGAGTTAGCAGTGGCAAACTGTTTTGTAATGAACATGCTGTTGGTGCATGAGCAAGGTACTATTATGAGGGGATTCAGTGAAACTTGTTAGCTGGGGAGTGCCTGCCCTCTGAAGGAGAGGTGGGGATGTTGCAATCTAGAGAATATGAATTGTGATGTAAGCATATTTCTGTAGGAGTGACTGAATGATAGTGAATGGTTTTCTTGTTTTTGGGTAATATTGCTCTGGTGGGAGATGGTCATTGAGATTAGAAAAATATATGTACAGTGGAGCATCGGTTTTCGTCATTAATTTGTTCCAGAAAGTCTGATGAAAACCGAACTCGGCGAAAACTGAAGCAGTATTTCTCATAAGAATAATGTAAATCCAATTAATCTGTTCCAGACACCCAAAAGTATTAACAAAAAATATATTTTATAGAGAATAACTATAGTTTTACATACAGAAAACAATGAGAAATAAATATAAAGGACTAATGAAATGGATAAATGAACATTTAATGTCACTTTTATTGAAGACAGTTGTTGGCGTATGGAAGACACGAGGAGGGGAAAGGGAGGAGGAGAGGCTATTGGTTGGAAGGGAAATCCCCCCTCCATAAGGACTTCAGGTATCAAGTCCCTATCTGCAGTTACTTCCCTTCTTTGTCTTTTACTGACACCGGGCCCCTGTCGCACAAAAAATCTGTCCGGAGAGGTCTGTTTCTGGCATCTCTTTAAGATTTGCCTAAAATGGGACAAGGCATAATCAATTAACATGTTGCAGACACAGCTTGCAACAGCTTTGTTAGGGTGATATTTCTCCACAAAACTTCGCCAGGATGGAACTGATCGTACTTTGCTATGAGCTCTTTCTTGAATTCTATTGTGTTTCTTGCCTTCTTTATCAAAGGGCTGGCACTCGGAATTTTCTTTGGCCCCATGGTGGCTTATTTAGCAGTCACACTCAATAAACAAGCACAAAATACAATGGATTATTACGAAATGTTTTGGATGAACGTGCAGGGTAATGCTCATTCGATGAGAAACAAAGCCAGACTAACTCAGAATGCGTGAGATGCTTTGTGTGGGTGTGGGAAGGCGGATACACTCGGTACAGTGGACTGGTGAAAACCGAGGTGATGAATGAGAACTGGGGCAAAATTTTGACGAATAATGTTGAAAACCGAATTCGACGAAAACCAGGGAAACGAAAATCGAGGTCCCACAAGTAGAAAGCAGAGTGGGTTTTCTCATATGTACAGTATTCAAAACAATGTGCCAAACCCAGATGGGGCATACAGTGCTATATGGTGGAGGGAAGCTAATGTTGGGGAAAAGAAGTGGAAGGTTGTGTTCATATGCTAAAAATGAAAGTCAAAATTAGCTCTAAAAGTCAGTTTCAGTTAAAAAATAATTCCGTGCTTAAGCTGGGGGTTTTCCATGTTCCAAATGAATTTTAAATACTCTTTGATAGACAGGGCCATCATCAAGACCTGACAACTGTCACAGAAGTGCTGGTTCCTTTCTATGAGAGTAACGTGTGTCTCGTGTCCCAATACACAGCCATGCGAACACTATTTCCCACAACAGCCTCCAGGCAATGGGAAGGGGTCACCCAAATATATAAATACTGTCAGATTAAAAACAGCTCATTTGACTGCAAACCTGGACCAATAACATTGCCAACGTGGACCCCCGCCTTACGATATTAATCCGTTAATGAGAGCTCATCGTACGGCGAAATTATCATAAGGCGAATTAATTTTCCCCATAAGAAATAATGGGAATCAAATTAATTCGTGCAAGACACCCAAAAGTATGAAATTTTTTTTTTTTTACCACATGAAATATTAATTTTAATACACACAAACTTTAGAAGATATGCACAATTAATACTCTACTAAGAACAGAATACATGACACTTACCTTTATTGAAGATTTGGTGATGATTGATAGGATGGGAGGAGGGGAGAGTAGAAGTTGTTATTGTTTAGAAGGGGAATCCCCTTTCATTACGACTTGAGGTATCAAGTCCTTTTCCGGGATTACTTCCCTTCTTCTTTTAAGAGCAAGTCCCCATAAGAGTAAAGTGACCATATTTTTATAAGTATTGTTCTGACTGTGTTTAAATTCATTTCCATTTAAGGGCAAGTCCCCCCAGAAAAAAAAAAAAAAAAATTAAGGGTGAGAGATATAAGAGGAACTTTTAAGAAAAGAGTCTGAATGTGCATGGATGTTGTGCAAATGATAAGAAAGAGATGATTGTGGATGTTATGAATGAGAAGAAGCTGGATGTCCTGGCTTTAAGTCAGTGGTTCCCAAACTTTTTCAGCTTGTTACCCAATTTAACATGCCACATAAAGCATGTTACCCCTTTCACAAAATGTTGTTATTATTGATATATATGGCTAAATTAAAACACTTGAGATATTTTCTTTTATTTATTGTATTTGAACATTGTGCATCTCTAATGACTATTACCAAAGATGTCAAGAACATCAGTGGGATGGATGGAGTTGCATACTTGAAGCTAGTTTAGGAATTCTTGGCTTCATACCAGCTTCTGTCTAGCTCGGCTGATGCTCACAGATAAACTGACAGTGTGAAATAGAGGCAGCCTCAGGAAGTGAGTGACGCGTACTGGACAGGTCGATCTGGGCTACTGAGTGACTTTTGTCCTGAAGCATACTTGTCAAAATACTTTTGGGTTTCCACAC